ACACCATCTAGGGGTGCGATCGTACCCACATATCCGTCTGGACGAACTATGACAACGGCGCCTTGATCGCTAACGCCGTAGTACGAGTAACCTTTACCACCCACAGTGCCTGTGACATCGATGTCGTCAATCAACACCCTGGGGGACATACTTCCGTCAATGTCCATAACCTCGAGACCAGGTAACCACTTACTTCGACCAATGCGACCGCAAAAGTGGCGGGAAGTCCAGGAAGTTAACCCCTTCTTTCTTTGCTTTGCTTATGGTAATAAAGTCAAACCTCGGGCCCGAAGATCCGGCTGACCCGTATTTCGTCAAAAAACTCTCTGGCCTTTCTAGATCCTTCACCAAGGACTCGACTCTTTCCCTCTGCAAAGGGTCGTTGAAATTGCCGGTGAACACAAGCAGCTTGTAGCGGAAATCGGAAGGAAGGAGGTCCTGAAGTTCGAATGGCCATGCATCGGCTGCTCGAAGGAACTTCTGTGGGGGCACGCGTTCACCAATGATGAGGTTACTGGCCAGCGATTGGTGTTTGTCGGCTACAATCACGGAAGGACTGTAGTGCACGCCAATGCCACTCGTAAACCCTCCAAAGGTTTGGAAAGCCCTAAAAGAAGGAAGTCAGACGTCCGCGGATAACCTGGGAGGTCTCCACTCACTTGAGGAACTGTTGGTGAGAAACACCATCGATATTGTCCGAGGTCAGGGGTTTTCCGGAGAAAAGGGTGGAGAAAGTTTTGTCAAAGGCAATGAGATCTTGTGCATATTTTCGGCGTTCCGACCCATACTGGGGATGCGTTACTGTTAGCTTCTGCCAGGTTGAACACAGCGAGGACTCACAGTTGACAAAAGCGACATGCCTGCCCAACCACGGACTACAAGCGCAAGCTTCCAAGCTACGATTGGTTTTCAGATGATGTACGGGAACGATGATAGTGCTTGACTCACCAAGATTATGCGCGTCGTTCATACTCGCGTTCATGCCCTGCCCTGAATGAACGTTCAGTATCGACAACATAGCAGGCAGATCGCATCGGAAAATTCACCTGCTTTAGGCGAATGCGTATGGCACGCATCTCCGGCGATGAACACACGATCCCTAACAGAGAACTTGGAGGCAACACGCTGTCCAACTGACGAGGCGAAGTTAGGGGTACTTGGCTTAAGGAGAACGAAAACTCACTGATGTATAGTGTCCACCAGTTGATGCCATTAGTAGGTTGAAGCGAGTATGGACTGAGAGACTTCTGGGCGACCTGTACCACAATATCGGGTTAGCACTTTCACGCCACATGATCCAGAAACAAACCTGTAGTAACTGATCAGGTCCCATCTTGTCCTTGTCTATTCTTCCGGTAGTTGGGTTCAACACGTCCTTATCAGCGAGCTGCATGTAGATCCGAATTCTGTCGGCTTCACGAGGGACCAGCAAACATGAGCCATTATTAGAATGGATGAGACTCTTGTTGCGGACGTCCGGGAAATCCGTGCCGGGAACCATGTCCAGCACTCCCCAAATGAAGTCTGGAGAAGGTTAGGGGATTAGACACGATAATGCGAAGCAAATGTGAGAATATTGAGAATATACTCTCACCAGTGTGTTCGCCATCCATGGAGATATCAAAAGTCTTTCTGACCCACGAATGCGCTCCTGTGGGTACATGTGAGTTATGATTCCAATACGATGGATCCTGAACTATACCATCAGCGCCAAGCACAAACTTGGCCCGGACGATCTCTTCACGCGGCTCACCATCGGGTCCCTCCAGGCGTTCAAGGGTGACCTGCGAATTTCACCGTGAGGGGGGATGTACATACTACGAATGCGTGAGAAAACCCCACCTTGACTGGATGTGAGGTGGGATCTGCAAGCTCCGACTCGTCGGATGATAGCTCTATGGCAGTAGGCATGGTGGATCGTTCGACTTCAACGCCGAGGGCTTTCATAGAGTCCAAAAATATTGATTCAATGCCTCCTTGATGCAATGCAAGCTGATGGTTCATCATGAGAATTTACGTTTCTCACAAGCATCAAGGACGACGCACTTCAAAAGGATAACGAGCAGATGGTGCAGTCACGTCAGGGGCGCGACTTGAGAGCTGAGGGATGATAATAAGACATGGCTAATGCGAAGGAATGATAACTCTGACCTGAATGCCGCCATTTGGACCAGGATCATAAAACGCCTGAATGACAATGTCGAATTAGGTCTTTTGTCCCATGCTGGCCGGATAACTTACCGCTAAGTGCACTTGACAACCTTCCCGTAGAAGACGTTCGCCAATACCATAGCTCTGCGATGATATTACATTGGGGGGCGCTAGCTGAATGGGATACAAGAATGCTTACCTGGAAGACCTCAATTGTTCGGGGTGAAATTCCGTCCGCCTGGCCAGCTGTTACCTTACCAGCTCTGCTCGCTCCTTCAGCGATGTTGCGCTAACCGTTGTAGCGGGAGCACACACCTTTTGTCTACAATCCTTACGTTTACCTTGGCATTCGCCAGAGCGTTGGCGCACATGAGCCCAGCGGGTCCAGCACCGATAATGAGAACATCGACTTCAGACTGAGGAGAGGGTGACATTATTGTAAGAAAATACGAGATCGAGTCTAGTTAGCATTTGGTGGGAACCCAAGAGCCGCTTTATACTACAAGGCTGAAGCGGTCCAGGGCAAATCATATTAGTCGGGAGCCCCGGAAGGATGCTCTGTTGAGCCGCATGTTCCAACTTTCAGGTGCCTTGGAAACTGTATTCCCGTTGACTAGATGTTATTCGGTAGTTTTCCTTCCGAGCACGCAGTGTCAGGATATATCAGGGATAATGTGCATTTGAGTGTCTTTGAGAACGAGAGTTCCGATAGATGGTCGTTCGCTTTCCACGAAACCAAAACTCCGTGGTCAAAAGTTGCCGTCGGTGGACAAATACTTTCGATGAAGGCAGGACCAAGAAACCGATAGGGATAAGGTATCTTCCATCAGATAACGGAAGCTGATAACGCAGGGTAATCGTTGCTGAATCAGAAGGATGGAGTGAGAGCCCGTGAGATGGTGAAGGCGCCCGTAACTTGCAAGGTGGAGCCTGAGACACAACATGTATGAATAGGCGATTAAATGGATTAGAGTTGAGAGGAGACGTCAAACTTATTATTTAAGGACGCCACTAGTACGATGGGCGCAGAGTGTCTCTGTGTTTCCATGCGTACACTCGCACCTGCGCGGACTCGAGTCGACGCAAGAAACCGTGCGTTCTCAGGCTGGTCCCACAAGTAGGAAGAAATTCCTCATGATGCACCCTGCGATGCCGGTTGGTACCAGATATCTGGGGCGCTTGAGCATTTTCGACAGCTAGGATGTAGATAACAATCAACCTGAGCCAATTCGCGCTTCGAAGATTGCGTGATGCCGTGCCAGTGTGAGAGATACAGAGTGGTCGGAACACCCCGCGAGTCGCAGAGGCCCGCACGAACGCAACCCACCACCAGTTAGCAACAGGGGTATTATCGTTGAATGTCGTCGAAGTCTAATTCCAAAAGCAGGTTTATATGGATCATGGACGTTGAAACGTCGACGTGCAAGTCGCTCCGAGTTGCAACACCCGGCCCGGTGGGTTTCAGAGGGTTTGGAAGCCTCCGACTCGTAAGCATCTGGCCCCATTGTTTGGTGTTCTCCCTGCAGGATGCCCAGTGTGAAGAGAAGCTTACAGGACACCTTCAGCGACTCTATGCAGTTCTTCCGTAGGGTTGATGTGGGGGTAACAAAAAAAATGATAATTTATAAGAATAGTGAGTAGCCGCCGAGCAGATCGTACTGATTCGTACAGCAAGTCAGGTATGTATAACAGTCAGATCAATGAAAGCACGGTGATCAAAGAATATCTTGTCGAGTCTTGATAGCATAACAACTTTGCGTTGAAGACGCGGACGTGGTTATTTTCGACGACCACAAATGTAACAGTGGACAAGCTTACCATATCCTGCAGCCGAGTCTTCAAACCTCACCATACAAAACACACTGAGCGTAGTCCTCCTTCTCAATGCCCTCCTTCGTAAGCAGGATCTCCCGAACCTGAGAACAAATTGATTTTAAAAATACGTAGAAGAAGAATGTCAGCTTTGACTTGCCTCTACAGGAGGATTAAGCCCAAAAGCTTCGGCTCGCTCCCATCGCTCTAGTCTCGTCATTCCGATACATGGACCAAATTCAAAAGACCTGGCATTATCGTGAGCACAAAACCAACTACGTCTTTGAATAATCTCACATGTCAAAGAAACGAAGCATTTGATGTATCTTGTTTTGACCCTCCCCATGGACTAAAATCGAAAACGACGTGAGTACTTCTCTGCGGTGTGCGCATGTTCATTCCTACTGGGTTGCGTATATCCCATCTTTGCTCTGACTTCGTTGTAGTACCCGCGGTAACGACCGGCCTTGTCCTCCACATCCAGGTGCTCCCTCTCTGCCTCTACTGGAGCAGGAGTGCTCTCGGGCTTCGACGGCTTCGATGATGCATTCTTCGTAGTACTGGAAGGTAGATGTGCCTTCGTTCTGGAGCGAGTTCGTTTGGCCGGAACAGTGGTCTCCTCAGGAGTGTATTCCTCTTCAGAGGAGGTGTCATACATGATTACACGGTCCCGTGCATCGCGTTGCACTTGGACAGGACTTTCTGGGGGTTTTATCTTCTCTTTTTCGATGGCAGAAGACGAGGACCGTGTGAGGGCAGCAGGTTTCTTCGAGTTCACATTGACCGCTGAATTGGTTCGTTTCGCGCTTGCGAATGAAAGGGTGCCCTGCTTCATGTTGAGTGCGTTAAAAGCGTTGAGACCTTATTTTTAAACGAGGATGACGGTCTAGAAGGTAGTATGGACGATGAATATACAGATTCAGCAGGTGGTGGTGGTGGAGATATCTCAAGCTGGTTGGGCAAAGAACAACAGGGGGAAGTGAGACACAGCCACTATCAAGAGATTCTTAGCTGGTAGCATCAAAAGTAATGTCAACGGCCGACTAGCTCAGCTGGTTAGAGCGTCGTGCTAATACGGAAAGCCACCGGCTTCCAGTGACGCGAAGGTCTTGGGTTCGATCCCCACGTTGGCCAGATTTTTTCCCTCCTTTTCGCGAAACGAGGCAAAATGCAAATTGTGCATCAAACATGCACGATGGAAAAGCCCACATACACTCCTTGCTACATATTATATTCCACTACGAATCACTGGACTGACAGTGTAGTGCAATTCACATGCATGGGTTCCGGGTTTAAAAGAACCCCCCTGAAAAGCTTCAGCAAGATAAATCGAGATAAGGTATGGATACAACGTCGCAGTGCATGAGGTCTACTCTCAAAACCCGAAATCGTGTGCATGCTGATGGCCGCCACTGTGGAAGTGGAACCTGGTTCCTCCTCCTCCTCCCCCTCCAAACGGACTGCCGCCAAACGCCCCAGGATGGAACTGTGCAAATATGTCTGCCAAATCGCCTGGTGGCATACCAAACCCGCCCATCCCGCCCATCCCAGAGTCATTTTGCCCATCTTCATCTTCGCCCATGTCGTACCGCTCACGTCGCTGTGGGTCTGAGAGCACAGCATGGGCTTCGACTAGGAGTTTGAATTTCTCCTCGTCTCCACCCTGGGCAGGTAGGACAGAAAGTGAGCGCACAGGCCTGTCGGCATCATAGTAAAGCACGTACCTTGTCTGGGTGGTGCTTGAGACTCTCCCTACGATAGGCCTTCTTGATGTCAGCTTCTGAGCAGTCCCTCGGAACACCTTGATGTGCTTGTGAGGAAATGTCCTTGTAAGACCGATGGCAAAGACGTACCAAGAATCTTGTAATAGTCCTTAGTCTTACTTCTCTTGAGGGCAGCCTCGGCTTTCTTGAGCTCAGCCTTGAGGGATCTGGCGTCTGCTTGGGCATTTTCGGACTCGGCGTATTCTATAGAAGACCTGAAGTCCGCTACTGCAGCATCAAACTTTTCGAGGTGCAGATTGATGCGTGCGCGAGTACGGAGGGCTTTGAAGGACATTGGAACGAGAGAGAGGGAAGCCTCCGTATCTGACAAAGCATCGTCGTATCGCTCAAGCTGCAGATAAGATTGTAAGAACCATGAAAGACGATATCAGGAAGTTGAACACCTTCACTAGGGTGGTAGCGCGGTTTGACAGAAGCGTGGCACGTATCTGACCACCTTTACCCTCCTCTTGTACCTCGCCTATGCGCTATGCAACACAGAAATGAACATGGTGACCAAGGTGGTAAGAACAACACATACGTCTAGACATTCCGTGTACAGTGTAGTCGCCTCTTGTAGTTTACCACTCTTGAATGCTGTGTTACCTTCTTCCTTTAGCCTCTCAACATCTTTGATTCGCTTTCGCAGCCGTGAGGCAGCTTCGTGTTCAGGATCTAATCGAAGCGCTGACCCAACGTGCTGAAGCGCTTGTGGTAGCTTCCCACTGAGAAATAGAACCAACCCACGCAGAGCAAGGGCCTCGGGCGAGTTGGGATCAAGTCTCAGACAGTCGCTACAGGCAATGCAGAGCGACCCGTCAGCACAAGAGGAGTCTTTGGTCAGTCTTTCTTCGATTTGACTTACTTTGCGGCGATATTGGCAGCATCCCAGTTAGCGCGTGCAAGCTCTAGCTCTACTCTCCACAAACGCCATTGCGTTGGCACCTCACCACCCTCACCTTCAATGCTCTGCAAGCACTTATCTAAGGCGAGTCGGGCCATTGCCCACTCCTTTCTACGCCTCGCACCATCAAAGTTACGTACATGAGCCCCAAGTTCGAGTACCTTCTCTTGGAGCTGCAACGCAGCAGCATTACTTGGCTCAAGAGCAATGACACTACGTAAAGTTGTAAGTGCAGGCTCCGAAGAGCCGAGGGCGAGCTGACATCGCGCGAGACGAATAAGGGTTTTTGACGAAGGTTCGGCTGACTGGAGGGCGGCAGCCTGCTGACAGTCAATCAGAGCAAGTCGGAAGCGTTTCAAGGCCATGTAAGATGCGGCGCGGTTTGTGAGAAATGAGGGTTCCATTTGATTCATCTCTGCGATATAAGCATGTCAATGAGCAGACGCCGAGAAGACATGCTGTGGCTGGTGCAAACCTATAGCTTTGGTATATAGGTCGATAGCATCGTTGTACCGCTTGTCTCTGAAAGCAATATTTCCTTGCTCTTTGATATCATCTGCCGTAATCTCTGCTGGTTTCTCCAATGGAGGAGGTTTGTCCGATTGAGAGGGGGAAGATGGGATGGGACTTGTAGCATCGGGTTTCGACTGGTTCTCTTGTGGAGTGGGTTGAGTCCTGGAGGTAGATTAGCACGGTTCGTGAATACATGAAGGGTGCAACCGGCGCACTTGATGCCATTTGGCTGGGCTTGCTTCTTAGCTTGAGCCTTCTTTTTATTAACCATTCTTCGGTGCTTAATCTGAGTGTGGATTGAACGTTTGAACGACCCCCGTATAGCGGATAGATGTTCGGAGCAGATATTCAGAAATTTGAGCTCCAGGACAAGGCGGTGAGGGCACTAGTACCACTAGTGTGACTCGTAACTGCAGGCGCAGGAGTGTAGTAGGCGTGGCGGAGATCGATACTAGGGAGTCGGAGAAATTCAATGTCACTTACAGGAGTTGCCAAACCGGGAACGGATCACGTGCTATCCGAAGTAGGCCACTTGAGTTGTACGTGATAGTTCCACCACACCATCTCCTCCCGCTACCCCGCCCATACCCTTCCTGCTCTCGACGCCTCATTGCCTATCATTGGCAGCTGTACAACCGACTGACTTCTCAACCCATAATTACTACAGATCACTACAGATATCTGCTTGGACGAGCAGCATCTTGTATCATCATGGCCCCAACCAGCCCTCGCGCAATCTTCCCTGAATTTAGGGAAGATATGTTTGCCAGGACGAGCAACAAAGGGTTCCAATCACACACGGCTGACTCCAGACGTTACGCGGGTGCTGGGTCGTCATCTTCCATCGTATTCATGCCAATTGCATCGCCCCCAACCCCCGCTCCCTCTCCCGGCCCCAGCAGTCACATGTCCGCTGATTCCGTCCAGCTTCCCCGATACCAGTCAACATCTTATGATCCTTCGCATTTGTCCCGAACTGAGTTCGCCGGTCTCTCGGCCCTGGGCCCCGTTTATCGCAAGCGATATCTCGTATCTCTACTGAGTGATTGCTCGCCTTCGGAACTCCTTTTCATCTCCCAGACTATTGCCCCCATGCTCAGGCGAGACTTCCTTACGGAGCTTCCTCCTGAAATAGCACTGCACATCCTTTCATTCATACATGAACCCAAAACTCTCGCCAGAGCAAGTCAAGTTTCCAAACGATGGCATGATCTGGTCCAGGATGAATGGATTTGGAAAGTAATGTGCGAAACGCACCGTTTCGATATTCAAACGGACGCCGCTGACAAGATTGACGATGGCGACGAGTCGAACGAAGAGTCTTCGAAAGAAACGGAGAGATTTCCCTCGCATCCTATGGATCCAGCGCTTCAATCGCTGACTGCCAGAGAAAGTATGAAACGCCAGGAGCAATCCCCCCTGTTATCTTGGAGACGAACTTATAGGGACAAAACGGGCAATGTTCCGTCGTCATACCGCAAACAATTTCAGTATTCCTACACTCTAAGTACGCCAGAATTCCTTGTCATAGATCATCTTATTGACGAACATCGGTTCAAGTGTCCAACATGCGAAGAGGGGGGACACGGCTCCGTTCGCACCGCATGACCATCTCGACACCCGATGGTGGCGTTGTTACGTCTGCGGCCTTGGACTCAGATCGTGTCATCGTCGGTTGCGCCAATTCAAAAGTTCTTATTTACAGTGCTAACACAGGTGTTTTGTGTCGCACGCTCCTGGGACACGAACAAGGCGTATGGGCAGTGCATCTTGTCAGTCGGGGTGGTTATTGGGATGGACCTGATAGCCACGCCGAGACATCCAGCAACGAATTAGGGGGAACATCACCAGGTTCACCCCCTACAAATGGTTGTGTGCATTTGAAATATCGTCGCGCGCTTGGGCTTGACATACCGAGAAAGAGACGGTCAGGCACAGCACAGCGCTCAGAGAGTCCTGGAAAGCCGAGTGACTTGTGTTGCACCTCCGAAGGCTGGGGTCAACCAAATCCGATCGTCGTTAGTGCTGGCTGTGATAAGACCTTGCGTGTGTGGGATGTCGTGTCGGGGTACGAACATTGCATCCCCGCTTAATTCTATTCCAGACTGACTGTTGCACTTCTAGTCATTGCATTTACATCCTACAGGGCCACACTGCGACTATCAGGTGTGTCCGGGTCTTGCACAACCGCCCAATTGCCGTGACGGGTTCTCGTGATACCACGGTTCGGGTTTGGGACATCCAGAAAGGTCGATTGCTTCGGATACTGGAAGGTCATTCGCATAGCGTGAGATGCCTCGACGTCTGTGGTAATCGGGTGGTTAGCGGAAGTTACGACGCTACATGCAGGGTGAGCCGACTGCCCCACATCCCTACTCACATTTAATTTCTTGGCGCGGATAGATATGGAACGTCGACACAGGGAATTGTCTACATGTGCTCACGGGCCATGAGCAAGAAATTTATTCAGTCGCGTTCGATGGCGTTCGCGTCGTTTCCGGAGGGATGGACACCACCGTCCGTGTGTGGGACGCCAAGTCAGGGTCAGTTCATTTATCATACCTTCCCCGTCCTTGGATTGAGTTTTCAATCATAGGCAATGCATCGCACTTCTCCAAGGACACTCTGCCCTTGTGTGTCAACTCCAGCTCTGCCCTAGGACCGGCCTCCTAGCTACCGGAGGCTCCGACGGGCGCGTCATCACATTCGATTTACATAACTACACGTCTTTACAACGTATCCCTGCCCATGACTCCTCCGTCACGTCCCTCCAATTCGATTCGAATTTCCTTATTACAGGTGGCAACGACGGGCGTGTGCGCATTTACGAAACACAGAGTGGGGCACACGTAAGGGATTTGGGCGAGCGGTGTGAGAGTGTGTGGAAAGTTGCGTGCAAGGGAGGGACATGTGCAGTTATGTGTAAGAGGTCAGGGCAGATGGTGATTGAGATT